AAGGTTAAGATGAAATTATTGCTAAATAAAATTGGTAAAATGCATAAGCATTATAATTCCACAATTTCAGATGTCAGTACTATTTGCTTATGAGAAAGTGCCTATAAGTATCCATTTGTTTATGACGCACCTGAAGAAGTACAATATTTTAACAATGATTTGGCTGCTAAAGGTATGGACTCATGAATCAGTATGACTGTATTGGAGAGCAAATTTCCCAAGCAAACTTTAACGTAAAGGAGCATCTCTTATGTTTGAAACCTTCTGGATTCAGATGCTTTGCTTGGCTGATGAAGATTAGCTGATTTCTTGCATTAAAGAAGTTTGTCTTGTAGGGACTGCAGTGACAAGACAATAACTAAGTGCTAATTGTGCATAACCAGCTCTAAAGAACATGCAATCCCATGATGGCATGTAATAAATGAAGCGGACACAAAAATATATTAGGTACTTTCATAATGATACTTGAATAGTATTTTATTGCAATAAGAATGTGAGCAGTTTCAGAGTCAAAATTTAGGAGTGTTTGTCTTACTTGACTAAGTTCTACTGAACAGATAGACTTAATTATGAATGCAACATTTTATTTCAATGGTGAAATTGATATATAATTGGTAAATAGTATTAACAGCCTTAAATTACCTTGCATCAAAATAGGAATCAGGTTGGGTTTAGCACTTGAATGATGTTTTAATTTTCTATAAAATAGGTAAGCCTGCCCCAAAAGGAAAACTGAAAAAGAATATAGACAGGCAGTTTACAACAAGAAGAAATAAATTCTCTTATAATCAAATAAATGCTAATTTAAAATTATAGTGAGATGTCTTTCATTGCTCAAAGTGGCAAGGATTTCTTTTTAAATATTTCTCAGTGTTAGAATACGAGGTAATGTGTATGTAATGCTTGGTATAAATATTCTGGAAAATATTTTGGTAATGTATCTAACATAAATCTTCAAAATACTAGATTTTTTGACAATTAATTATACTCCTGTGAGTTCACTTAAACATACACTTGAAGATTTATTTATGGAGTCCATATCATATTAAATATTGACATAAAAACTTTTGATAAAACACGCTATACATCTGATGCTAGAAGATTAAGTAAGTGGTGTCTTTTAAACTGAATACACAAAAGTGTAAATTGCCTTACAAGAATTTTTAATGTGAGTTAAAAAGGCACAGGATATATGGGTATATATAAGGAGCTCTGGTAGCGTAGTGGTTACGAATCGGGCTGCGAGCCTTAAGGTCAGCGGTTCGAAACTACCAGCCGCTCCGCGGGAGAAAGATGAG